GTTTACATTTTTGTTATCGTGAAATCTCCACACCGATTCATTTAATTTATCTGAGTGGTGCGTCAAACTAGATAGTAAATAACAGTACCTTAGTGTTAAAATGCAGCGTTATTCGTATGCGGAACTTGCGGATATGCATTTAATTTACGGAGAAGCTGGTGGTAACGGAAGACGAGCCTCGCGAATCTACGCCCAACGGTTTCCAGAACGTCCTCATCCACATCACGCCATTTTTGCAAGGATTCATGGACGTCTTCGTGTCAGTGGCAGCATCAGACACCTCGCGGGAGCAGGGCGGCCCTTCACGAGGCGCACAGTAGAATTTGAGGAAGCGATTCTGCATCATGTAGAGGCCAATCCGCGTATAAGCGTGCGTGCTATTGCACATGATATGGCAGCGTCTCAAACTAGTGTTTGGCGGGTTCTCCATGACCAGCAACTACACCCATACCACCTTTTAAAAGTCCAAGCCATGGGTCCAGAAGACTATCTGCCACGTCGACGTTTTTGTCGTTGGTGGCTGCAGCAGGAGTTGAGACAACCAAACTTTGGTCGCTCCGTTTTGTTCACTGACGAGTCCTGTTTTACAAAGGACGGTTATTGTAATAGCCGTAACAGTCACATTTGGGATGAAGAAAACCCTCATGCCATAGCCATCCATAGAGACCAACATCAGTTTTCAATTAACATCTGGTGCGGCATTGTGGACGAGCATATCATCGGGCCATATTTGCTTCCACCACGTTTGGATGGGCATGCTTATGTTCGATTCTTACAGCATGAGCTACCGGAACTATTAGAAACTGTGCCACTGAACATAAGAGCCAATATGTGGTTTCAACTCGATGGCGCTCCAGCCCACTTTTCTTTACAAGTGCGGCAGTATTTAGACGACAAATTTCCAAATAGGTGGATAGGCCGAGATGGCCCTGTACCTTGGCCTGCGCGGTCACCCGACCTGACCCCACTGGATTATTTTCTCTGGGGCCATCTGAAAGCTTTAGTGTACGAAACTCCTGTTCCCAACCAACAAGAGCTACTGGGAAGAGTGATGGCCGCGTCCGCACATGTTCAGGACATACCGGGGGTATGCCACAGAGTTCGCCGATCATTGAACAATCGTGCACAGCTGTGTATTGAGCAAGGTGGAGGACACTTTGAGCAATTACTGTAGGTAAGCTGTTTCAAGAAACTGATCTTTTTTTTTTGCTGCAGCCCAAACGGCATATTTCCGAACAGGGGTTTATAAGGCAAAATTGTTCATTTTGATGCCCTCTACAACCCCTACATTTTGTCGCAATAATTATGGAACACCCTGTATAAACCCGTTACAGGCAAGACGTAATGTTTTTAGAGCGATACCTGTCAGTGCGCAAAGCATATATGTACATAAGTACCAAAATGAAATAGAGTAACGTAGTTCATCTTAAGCCGCTACTTAGGTAAATTATCTCTTGCTTAGGTAAACCATCCCAGTCAATATTGATTTTAAACCAAATTTTCAACAATTGTTTATGGCCATTTTTGGTTTTCCAGACTTCAAATCACTCATAAATTGAAAACGGTCAATTTTAGAGAGCATTTGCTAAATATATTTGTTTGTAATGATTAACCAGCGTCTTGATACATGTTTTTATTCTGGTTCAGTTTGCTTCTCTCGTAGAGAACCTAACTGGCTTAGTATTTTCATCATTTAGCAAGAACTTGGAGTAAAACCAAATTTTGGCTTTTTCCAATTCAGCGTTTGTTTGCTGGTGAACTTCCATCAGAGAGCTGGCTGCAAGAGATATTGACGTGCCATCTGCAAAGAGGGTATATTTGGGTATTATGCCATTATTTGGAGGTGGTTAATATAGTTGAGAAATAGTATGGGTCCTAGGACAGAACCTTGTGGCGTTTCTACAGATATCTTCCTCTTTGCAGAGCTCACACCATTATTTTCATAGTTTACCTAAGGGATATTTGCTTTCCCTTGGGACGTACTTGTGTATCTCATTCAATAGGTAAGGATGTTTTGGCTTCTATAGTTTCATATATTTGTTGTTATATAATGACTTTTTAATATGAATACACGTTTATTGTCATCGTTTTCGTTTGTTTTTCTATGGTTTTTATATCCATTTATTTTCTTAGTGAATCGTTTTCCTTGAATTTCTTCACTTCATTGCTAAGCTTATGAATTTGAATTTTTAAGTATATTTTTTCACATTTTGTGTAACCTTGATGAAGGTAAAATAAACGCCAAAAGGTTGGCAATATAATAAATGACGTGACTTAACACCTTTTCTCTAACCAAAAAATCCGAAGGAATTAAAAGTAATTAAAATACACTAGGATAAGAAGTTACATCGTTAATATAATAAAAGAATATTTCTCGGAGAAAATGGTCATTTAAAGATCCAATGCCTAGCCACAAGTAACTAAAACTCTTAATTTTGTGAGCGGTCTATTCCTTGGTCAAACGAGATTTATTTAAACGTGAATCATTACCTTTTGCACACGTATTGTTCTGAAATTAGAATCATTCCATCATGGTGTTTCTGAGATCACATTGCTATTAGTCAATTTTGCACACCCTGAACTTACTCTAGAAGATAACGTTAGCACGACTATGGCTTATACCCCAAGAAAAGGATATCCAACTCATGAATATAAGGACACAAATTGCCGAATGAAAGATTCAGAAGAAGAAGCTGTCAGAAATTGTTCTCAAATTGGGTTTCGTTCCTTGCGTCGTCGGTCAATCGAGGGTATAAGTATATCATCTCTGGCATCTGAATTTCTAGGGAAACCTAATTTAAGATCAAAAGAGTTGCCGGTCCTTTTTGGGGAGAGCTTTTAACTTAAGAATAAACCAATCTTGGATTATTTGACGTCACTAGAAACAGACCCTTATTCTGTGTGAAGGTACGTACACCGGGTATTCCAAATTTAATTCTCACCATTTTGAAATCTGAAACGGTAATAGACACAAAGTCGGTCGAATGGGAGACAAGTTGTACACTTAGGTAACTAAGAAAATGGCATACAGAAAATTTCGCAATTTTTCATGTCTCCGAAGATAAGCAGAAGAAACCAAAATCATTTTAGTTTAATCCTGACTTTATATGACATGTGATTTCAAAATAAATAGTACATTAACATTGCCAATATCTTTATTCTACAAGATGGCATGATTAGAATTTCAATATGACGTTTCGTCTCTTGTATTATATTTATATTTTCTTATATACGCCATATCAGATTTTTGCACAGTTAGAGTTTTAATTCCGATTCCAAAAATTTATAATACGATATACATTTTGATTTTGAAAATCACAGTTTACGACATGTTTTTCTAACTAAAACACCAATGTTTCAATTTCCGAGTAGAGTGTTTAAAGGACATCCACATAATTTGACAATTTATTGACTACAACAAGCATGATTTTAGCAGGATGGAGGTGCTATATCTGACACCTCAGCTGTAGATTAATGGTATTTGAATGCGAGATGGGTGCATCGGTTTAGATATGAGGGATATGAAATGTGTTTAAGAAGCTGTAACATGGTCTATACTTTCCGTTACTTCGAAATTATTTTATCGGTTATATAAAATAATACTGTTTTCAATACTACCCCTAAATAACTTGAAAAAGCTTTAGCAAGTTTTCTCTTCATTCAGTGAGGTAAGACCAACTTTTGGAAGACTACTTGTTTAGATATTTGATATTTTATAATACCAATCCAAGTAGTTTATCATATCACATCGTTAAAATAAAAAATAGGGATGATTACATAATGCTTTGTTCATAAAAACTGAAGGAATTCTTGGCTGATGTTGAAGTTTTAACGATACCACCTTTTGGAAGGAACTTTAATGTACTTTTATATTGAAATCTCATCTCAAATAAAAACGATTTTGAGAAATTTCGGTTTCTTTCTTCTATCTCCGGTAATACCCGGAATTGCGAAACTTTGTGAGTGCCATTTTCTTACTTACCTTAATGCTCAAGTTTCTCCCCATTTAATCTACTTTATATCGTGTCCGAAAATGGTAAAAGTCGATTCGAAACATATTTTTTTTGAAGAAAGCCCATGGATTATCATTATGAGGCGATGTTTTAATCTTTTGCGAATTTAATTTGTCAGTTTTGTTATCGCCGGTATAGTACTTCTTTACAATAAGCTAGATGACACTTTTTTAATTAAGTCTTAAATAGTTAATATTTGTTCTATTAAACCAAAAAAATTAAGACTATATTTTTTGCAGATCTAAAAGACCGTAAAACTTTAATTTAAAAATATATTTTTCATAGACTGGCGAAAACGCTGTCCGCCATGTTTCGTCCATATTAGTGTTTTTTTTGACGTTGTACCATTTGTAAACAGCAATTGACAGCAGCATAACCTCTCAACCTTTTAAACATAAAAAACATAACTTCTACTAGTTCACACGAGAAACATAGTAATTATGGATATTATATAATTCGAGAATGTAAATACACGTCGCGAAAGACCCAAGGGAAGCTGACTTAGAGTGCCCATGAACATAAATATACGCTTGCAGCATACCTTATGTTCGGGACATATTTTACATTTTACTGTGCAGATTTTATCTTCTCGTTTAAGTTGGACGTAACCATCACCGTACGATTCCCTTGCAGATGTGTAAGAAGAAATACAATATTAAATGAAATTATTCAGAGATTATGACGCATTAGCTTAGTTTTATATGACTTCTGAAAAGAAAGATTATGTAAGTTATTTTATTACCTATTTCTTTTTATGTCTATCACTATATCAGATTCATTTTTTTCTATACTCCAACTACCATGAAGGCCTAAGGCCTAAACACCCATTGGCTACCGTGGGGCTATGGGGGATACAGGAGAAAGGGGGACGCCACACGGACTCTGGCGAGGGAACACGTGTGCATGCAACATGCACACATTCTGGCTCCACCTACTAGATCCGCCGGGTGGTACCTCCGCGTTCGACAGTCAGAGACCGTCTACCACCTACGGACAATCACAACATCCATAGCCAAGAGAAAAATGTCTCCTGGGACGGGACTAAAAGAGCTTCTTGTAATTTTACATAGTTAATATTGGTAATTTCTTCCACTTTGTTAGCATCAAATTTACTTTCAACTTCCAAAGATATCCATGAATGATCACTGATCCTAGGAATATGCCTAACTTTTGCAGTTAAATTTTGTTCGTTCGTTATTATAAAATCTATGATTGTTCTTGATTGATTTGTAATTTTTGTGTCATCATAGACTTTTTGCCATTGTCCATAAAAACTGAGTACATACATAGTTGAGTCTTGATGTTCTTCAACTCAGTAGAGCAAGAATTTGAGCTTTCGGCTTTTACGAATCCGTCCTCGATTATGTTTTTCAATTCTGCGGAAAGCAGCAATTGGACCTACATATCCATCTTGCGCTTTAAAAAATTGAAATCCATATATTTCGTTTTTCTAAAGGCAAATACTATAAGGAGCAGCCTATTGAGGGATCGGTAACCCAAAAGTCTACCATTACCTAAAAAAAATAGAGGAAACTGTTTTCCATTAGATTGCTGTAGAACGTTTAATTTTTGTTTTGACTCTAATTCAATATCAGTTTCTAATCACAGTTCTGTAATGTACCCGTTTATAGGGATCATCCAAATAAAATTTGAGAAACGACTGTTTATCTTTATTTCCACGAGCTACAGACATTATTAAAAATACATGCATCACATTGAACTGAGTAACACTATAAATTCATAGCAGCTCATGAGGAGTATCAAGAAAGCATCATATACAGCATGTCCGACTAAATAAATAATTCATTGTGTGGAAGGGGTAAAAATAATTTTTCTCTCCGGGATAGCATCAGAAGCGGGATGTAGAGCGGGAGATATAGGAGGAACACGTTGGCAGCTGTGCTGGTGTGCGAGGAAAGCCTGCATTGCACCATCTGCGCCTGCCATTGACGAATGTCTTTCCGATATTTATGAATTTTAATTTTGAAATCGTGCCCGTTATACCACCACCGGCACTAGCAAGTACACGCCATGCCGGAGCATATTCTGGACAAAAAGTTGAATGCGAATTTTTTTAACGGAGTAGACGGACTAAGTACTTACAAAGCATTCACAAGAATCAGAAAAGCCCTGTGCAAATGCCGCACTGTTGCCACAGTGGTTGAAAAACCGAAAAACCTGGCCAAAAGTCCCAAAAAATGTTTTTCACAGTTACAGGGATGCTCAATTCATCTTTCGATCGCATTAGTTCCACTTAGGTGTCTCTGCATACGGAATTATAGTGAAGTGAATGGCTGCCGTATCACATGTCAAAATAACAAGGAGCTCGTGACCAAAAAGTGTACAATTGAATAGAATCTCGTTTGGACACAACTAGCTGTATCGAGGTGTGGCGAAATACATTGGGTACTGGAATGTATGTACAATTGCGATATGACATTGTATTGCTTCCAAATCGACATATGACACGATACAACAATAATATGTAATTGATACTTTTTCCGTAATTCATTGTGAATTAGTGACTTAGTGAATTCACAAAGAATTAAAAAAAAAACGTACACTGGATTCCCCTTTATTTCGAATGGTAGCATGTATATCAGACATCCAGTTAAGAAATATGTAAATTTTGGCTGCAGTTGACTGCACCTTTAGCAATTGTGCGACATTACACAGTAATGATATACACTGAGAACCAAATTTGTCTGCCGGCTTGAGTTCAATGTGTACGAGAGAGAAGTGTGTATAGATACATAATTTTGTTAGAAAGAGATAGAAGTCGGCTGGTTAGCAAAGCTCATCACCGCGTTGCCTATGCATGTTGAAAATATGCGTATTCTCTACGCCCAAATAATGGCTTTATTTTGAGCGTACACATTTTTGAATTGCGAATTGTACCGAATCTGTTTAGGATCGATTGCGGATCGGTCCTAACGGTGCCCCATTTTAGGTCGAAATTAAAGGTCAGGCTCGCCACAAATTCTGCAACATTGTATCTCTGGTTCGATTAGCAACACCGCACCTCGTACATTCCAAGGAAGGTTTCCACCTCCATTATCATAGTTGACCGATTTTGGGGAGTGTCTTCCTGCTTGGAAATGGTTTTCACCTGTGTACCCGCAGGCAGTGATAATTTGTGTTGCGTAATGATATAACTCAAGATGTGTTAATTTTATCACCATCGGTGGGAATCAAAGACAATTCTAAAATACATTAAAATACTAAGTCGCATCAAAATTGAAATAGATAATTCTAATCAAAATCAAACCACAATATTAAATTAAATGTTCGAACAGACCTCCTTCTTGGGGTTGACGGTAACTTGAACTATTGTAGAAGCCTGTGCGAACATTTTCTAGTATAAAATATTGGCAAAGCGGTAGATTGCACGAGCTTCTGCGTCACCGTCGCTAGGCAAATAACTTTCGCACTTCAGCCGGTTTCTATCTCTTTCTAATATATGTTGATACACACTTCTCCCGCTTCTATCTCGTACACTCTGAACTCTAGCGGTCAGACAAATTCAGTTTCCCTTCATTATACACTTGTACACCAAATTGATACTCTTAACAGAAAAAACTAACAAACTACAAGAAGGACAGTCAAATCAGCACCATCGCCCAAATTCCTGTATTTTCAGAGGTTTTTTAAACCCTTGCAGCTGTTCCAATTTCCAAAAATATTACGGGATGGGTTTCAGAATTTACTTCCTGTTGTTATGTTGGTACGCCAGTGTTTCCACTGATGCCTCCCAGGCTTTTCATTGCCTGTTAATATGCAAATTCTACAGCCTTATGTTCGAACAGGCGCAAGAGGAAGAAGAGGATCTGTAGAATGCCAGTGTTGATCATAGAATGGAGCTAATAGTACAGTCTTCGACAGTTCAAGGCCCAGAAAAATTCACAACAGTCTGAAATCTCGCACCATTACGCCTTTCTGATATCCACGAAAATTAGACTTAGCCCCACGTGAAACTTCTGACTCTCTACAAATGAGATGTGCAAAGGGTGGAACAGAAGAAGCTTTTTCACTAATAACTAGAGAAATCGACATAACTAACCGCAATACCCTACTGAGAAATAGCTGTTAATGCCATAGGTTCTTTTTATACTCCAACCACCATGAAAGCCTTAAGCATAAACACTCTTGGGGTACCGTGGGGATATACGGGGCTACAGAGCGCCGCCTGCGAGATCCGCCGGGTGGTACCTCCACGCTCGACAGTTCGAGATTGTCTACCGCCTAAGGACGGTCACAACATCCTTTGCCAAGGTAGATAATGATAACAGAAAACACCTAGGAAGATAATGAATGTCATTCAAAATTGTAACCTGCTGACATTGGCATGTGATGCATTAGTTCGACAACTAAACCTTATGTTTCGAATCATTTGATATTCTTCTTTAGTGTTTCAATAATTGTGAAAGTATTGGAAAATGGCTTTTGAAGCTACCGGAATGAAAACGTTAGCTAGTTGCACTTATTTGGGCTTGTCAGTTTCACACCAATCCCCTAGATGTTTCAACGTGTTTTTGAAATTAAGATTAAGCATCATGATTGTTTATTTACGCTTCGGTTAAGGTAAATAACTAGAATGAAAATATTTGAGTCTTATAAAATCAAATGCCATGGCATATACAATGGCAGATCCATATGCTCCACCTCTGATCCCCTTGCTTTCCAAAAGGAAAAGATTGATATAAAATTTAGTGCTGAAGATTATTCTTCGAATTACCCTTATACATATGAAGTTCTTGTGATTAGTTGGATTTGGGGTCTAAAGACACACAGTTTCCTTTTACAAAGTTGCCAACGTTTCGGAAAATGTATTCCTTTTTGAGTGTTCTACAAAAAATTTAAAAGGCTTACTTTATTAAGCAACAGTTTAAATAATAAAATCGATGTGAAAGATACTTATTTTAGTTAAGACACAATATAAAATTAAGTATTAAACAAATCCCCGAATTTCATTGACAACATAGCAATTGCTAACATATACAATGTACAACAGAGATAAAAAATTAAACAAAGAAAAAATGGTTTGTAATTTAGATAGATCTTCAACACCAATGAAAAGATTCTTCTGTGCTTCACTATCAGAAAAAAAGAATTTATAACTCACCCTTTTACTTAGAAATTGTGGTGGTCAAGAAGTAATCCAACTTAGGAATTATCATTCAGATTGCAACTTATCAATTAGGCAATGAAAGACTGTTACGGAATATAGCTAGACGCAGATTGATGTAAGAGAACAAGGTGTTTATAAATAGCAAAAGTTTGAGCTATTTTCTGTTATACTTGATGTTTTACCTTGTCGTTGCTGATCAAATATTATGCGGTTGTTGTTACTTTGTTTTTCATGAAATTAATGATTTTATAGTACATAAGACTTAAATCTGTTATGTCTGTTCTTTTATTAACTACATTTTTGTGCTTTTCAGTTTCCAACATTACATGGAAAATATTTATTTATAATTATTTTTCACACATAGGACCTTACACGAATCAAAATCAAACACATTCTGAAAACATGTGTTACTTGAGTGTCTCCCTCTTTTAGATAGAAATTCTTACAATATCTTTTGTGTTCTCATAGTCAAGTCTTTAAGTACTTTTCTGTTGACACTTTATACAGGGTGTTTTACAACTTATCCGACAAATATACTGTTGCGAAAGAAGTTGATTTCTCAAACAAAATATTGTAATAAAAGTTCTACAGAAATTAAGTTATGAACCTGAGTTTCAATAATAAATTGAAACATAATTACATGTATTTTGCGTTCATCGTCGTGATATTAAACACGCATTAATAATTTATTGTAGCAAATGTTGTACCAAACAACTGACGAAAATAAAATACCAGGAATTTTTTGTTTTTTCATACTGACAAGAACGTGTAAATAAGGTTTAATCTGTATCGTGGGTGACCTGAATGAAGAACGGCGGTTTTTGTGAAGTTAAATAAAAGTATATTGCGAGTTTATGTTTTTAGTTATTTATTAATAAAGATGGCACATGTGTAC